GAAGAAAAACTGGAATAAGTGAGAATAAGAAATCAACATTTTAAGCAAAATTGTGAAACTAGGCATCACTAAAATCAAATTTAGTGACATGTTGATTCTGAATATTGTTATAATGATTGTCAAAACTTACTTGCAGGCTCACTGAGAAGTACATCGGAAATTTGCCGCCTATTGTTCACTTCTAGAGAACGATGAAAAAGCCTGGAGAAAAATTTACGTGTGAAGCCTTTGTGTATATACGTCAATGAAGTTATTACTCACGTATTTGTTGAAATAATAAGTCGCAGTTAAATTGCATTCATTTTAAAAGGTATAAGTTTTCTAAGCAGATGGCGGAATCCGCGTAAAGTCATTGAATGATTCCTTAAAGAGTCGTTGTTCCAACTTTTAATATTATTTCTAAACTCCGAAAGAGATCGTAACATTTGCGTAGAGGAGCAGGTGCAACAGAGGCACCTATTACATCGAAGAGTTGGTGTAATCAGGGTTGGACTTATTGTCAAAATGTTATAGCTACGAGGATTTCAGGAGGTAGAGTTCTACAATCCGGACGATTATAGGGATGAGGGAAGCAGCCAGAGATGCATTTTTCCACCTTGGAGCACTATGCAAGAGGAGAATGACAATCGTTGATCACCGCGTGATTATTCTGAAAAAATTTTTGTTTTCCATCGAAGAAGATTGAGAAATATAAAAGATCTTAGAAGGAGAACTCAGTCATAATTAGCCTACTCTAGTTTAGAAGTCTACTATCCATCCGCTTTCAGAAAACATACAGCTTGCCAGGAAAGAGATGGGTTTTTCCTGCTAAATAGAAATAGTTTCAGTCATTTTTTCAAAATTGTAGGATTTTTCTATAAAAAATTGTAGATTTTTGATATGAGAAGATAAGAGAGTCTCTAGCCATATATTGAATTACTCTTGTTGAAAGCTTCCAGGAAATATATAGCTTACCAAGGAAGAAAGGATTTTCCTGCATTGTGAAGGTGGTCGCAATTGTTTTTCTAAAATTAAGGAAATTTTTTTATAGAAATTCATAACTTTACTATACGAAAAGCTAAAAGAGTGCTTTGCACTCCATTGGAATCCCCTGGTCGTCCGCTTTCAGGAAATATATAGTTTGCCAGGAAAAAAGGGGATTTTCCTATCGGGTGAAAGGGGTCGCAGTCTATTTTCCGGAATTAAGCCAATTTTTAACTTAGAAAAATCATAACAATTTTATTTGAGAAGCTGGGAGAGTGATTAGGTGTTTATTGAATTCCTCTCGTCGTCCGCTTTCAGAAAATATATAGGTTGTAGGGAGAGGGATGCTAAAAGTACGTGGTGAAAGGGGTGGGAACATGGTATAATGGGCATGTTCCTTTAGCTTCTTAAAGGCACCGTCCACCCAAAATTTCGACCTCCATGTTTTTGCCGTTCCAGGGCCTTCTCATACCCCCGATTCCGAATATCAAGTTGAAAATCCGCGGGAACCACGAAAAACCCCCATTTTAGAACCCGCAGAGCGATTTCTTCGGTCCGGTGATTGGCTGGGCGCGCACGAATGGGCGGGACGAACGTCACGCCCACTCCGAAAGGGGAGGAGCCAGCGTCGCGAATGCTGCCTGAAGCAATTTCCGAAGCAATTTTCTCGGTTCGGAAGCAACTTCAGGCAGCGCGAATCGGGCAATCACACATACGGGGGCCCCGCATCTGCTAGGTATCATAATCTCACCAACCCCAATTTGGGTGGACGGTGCCTTTAAATCGACGCTTTTTGAGTACAGAAAGGAAGATTTCCATTATGCCATGTTCCCACCCCTTTCACCACGTACTTTTAGCATCCCTCTCCCTCCAACCTATATATTTTCTGAAAGCGGACGACGAGAGGAATTCAATAAACACCTAATCACTCTCCCAGCTTCTCAAATAAAATTGTTATGATTTTTTTGAGTTAAAAATTGGCTTAATTCCGGAAAATAGACTGCGACCCCTTTCACCCGATAGGAAAATCCTCTTTTTTTCCTGGCAAACTATATATTTCCTGAAAGCGGACGACCAGGGGATTCCAATGGAATGCAAAGCACTCTTCTAGCTTTTCGTATAGTAAAGTTATGAATTTTTATAAAAAAATTTCCTTAATTTTAGAAAAACAATTGCGACCACCTTCACAATACAGGAAAATCCTTTCTTCCTTGGTAAGCTATATATTCTCTGGAAGTTTTCAACAAGAGTAATTCAATATATGGCTAGAGACTTTCTTATCTTCTCATATCAAACTACAATTTTTTATAGAAAAATTCTACAATTATGAAAAAATGACTAAAACTATTTCTATTTAGCAGGAAAAACCCATCTTTTTCCTGGCAAGCTGTATGTTTTCTGAAAGCGGATGGATAGTAGACTTCTAAAGAGTAGGTTAATTATGACTGAGTTCTCCTTCTATGATCTTTTTATATTTCTCAATCTTCTTCGATGGAAAACAAGAATTTTTTTCGGAATAATCACGCAGTGATCATATACGATTGTCATTCTCCTCTTGTATAGTGCTCCAAGGTGGAAAAATGCATCTCTGGCTGCTTCCCTCATCCCTATCATCGTCCAAGTAGGCGGATTGTAGAACTCCACGATCCTCGTAGCTATAACATTTTGACAGTAAGTCCAACCCTGATTACACCAACTCTTCGATGTAGTAGGTGCCTCTGTTGCACCTGCTTCTCTACGCAAATGTTACGATCTCTTTCGGAGTTTAGAAATAATATCAAAAGTTAATGACTCTTCAAGGAATCATTCAATGACTTTACACGGATTCCGCCATCTGCTTAGAAAATTTCCTTTTAAAGTGAATGCAATTTAACTGCGACTTATTATTTCAGCAAATACGTGAGTAATAACTTCATTGACGTATATACACAAAGGCTTCACACGTAAATTATTCTCCAGGCTTTTTCATCGTTCTCTAGAAGTGAACAATAGGCGGCAAATTTCCGATGTACTTCTCAGTGAGCCTGCAAATAGGTTTTTGATGATCATATTGATGAAATTGTTTTGCTTATAATGCTAATGTCTTAGTCTCACTTTTCCAGTTCCTCATCGGCCGTGGGTGAAGGGGGGTCAGCTGGGCTCCGGCCCTGGGGTGAAGGGGGTAGGAACACATAATCGCCTTTTCACATGTATGATTCTTTGTTTCTTTTCTACATTATAAAGATGAGAAGAATCCTCTGTTTCCTTTCTATTCACCTTTTCTACGAAAACATCATGCACGCGCAGCGGTCGCCGCGCGGTCAGCAGTCGTTACGGTCAACGAATAAACGATACTTGAAGGGGGGGGGGTCGTATCTGGCACTTGTGTGCACACCCCCTGCTCGACCCTGGCTATGACCCAAATTCTAGCTCAAGGACTCTTGCTGGCGCTTTATGAATTTCGTTTCAGATCAACGCACACACAAACAAAGTCACGCTAATACCCTTAACCCGCTATAATAAGTTATGATGGTTATAGCACTGATAGACCAGCGCGGAGCAAACTCTCCGTTAGGCGAGTATGGAATCATGGATAGTAGAGTTAATGCGAGCCTCCGCAAAGTGGAGGTGACTTATCTACAGGACAACAAGCCTTGAATACTGGACGGCCACTTCGTCTATCTGCATGTGTGCCTTCTCCTTTATAAAGCCCCAAATTTGCAAGATTCTGGGTAGGCTTCTCTCAACTTTATAGCGGTCGCATCAATTTGCGTCAGTTTAATTCAGCAACCGCTCTGTTCGGGCGATAGGACTCTGAACTCTCTACGATCCTAGGAATGAGTTGTGAGACGTACGTATACGTAGCCTTTGCTTCTGGAACCTTTGCTCTTACAATTCACCATAGCTCTCCATTAATTTTCACGAAGCCTCCGCTGGCGTTTTTGACGACTAGTTTGTCTCTTCCAGCCAAGAAGCAACCACGTTTCTCTATACTGATTCGTTCAGTGTTATATCGGATCTTGTTTGCATTAAAAAACTAATCGGATGGCTATTTACTTACGCTTCCACATATATGCGAGTTGAACTTACTTCCATAATCGCGTTCGCAACCTTCGCAAACAATGTTGTGCACATCACGTCTTTTTTTAACCTTTCCATGTTGTGTTGTCGCAGCTTTGTGCTCTGAAATGCTCCTCTCCCACGCTTATTCGCCAAATTCCTCGTGTCTTCTTGCACCTCTTACAAAACCATAGCTTCGCTTTGCATTCCTTGACAAGGTGAGTACCACGCAATTTCAGCATTACAACCTCTTAGGTCCTTCCTTGCTCGTTGGTTCGACAGCTTTTATGCAACTAACTACAGATTCACTGGTTTCCTCAAGGCTCACGAAGTCCAGGTGCAATTCCTGTGGCGACATCTTTAGTTCAGCCTCGCATTCTCTGTCCAGGACGGCAATGGATCGCCTCCGTGATCTCAACTTCCTTCGGGCTCTTCAAATGAGATGTCAACACCGGACATTTGATTTCATCCTGTGGGTATGAATTTTCGCCTTCCGCATGATACGTTCACCCATCATGTTCACTTGAGGTAGTCTCCAGTGTCATTCTTCTCCAGTTTCAGACACTGGTATCTCATCGTGAGCTCTGCAGTAATGTAGTAATCTTCTGTGGTAATCGCAAATCCTGATCGACTCTCACTCCTCTCTGGACACGATATCAAAACTTTTCGTCCTTTGCAGGCATGCGAGAAGCACAGCAGAATTTTTATGCAGAGAATAAGGAAATAAAAAGAATAAAAGGCAAACGGGGGCAAAGACCGAGTGAACCGCCATTGGCTACGAGTAAAGGCCTTATATAGCGCTCATTTCCCGCGCACACTGTTATGTATCGACTAAATGGTTGTAGAACATATGAGAAACAACTAATTAGTCTCAATCAAAAAAACTCTTATTGAAAGAACAAGCAAGCTCGGATTGTCAAGAAAAGTGATCATAGACAAGATAGGGCAATGACTGTAGCGAATTTCTCACAAAGATCAGTTTGAGAAATGGAACCTACCTTGCTATCTCCAAGATTTGCAACATATAAAGCATCATTGAGCAACAAGACACAGGTGACTGTAGTGCCATCTTTCCAGGTGGGCTTACTGAAACGTAAGTAAGTTAAAGAGCTGAGTTCGAACAAAATAACCCACTGTCTCCTAGCTTCATTCAAAAAAGCTTCATCGACACTTTTGAATGTTTCGGTGAAGGTTCGCTTCAGTTGCTTTTCCAAGGAACTGATGTCGCAAACTACAAACGAAATCATAGCAAGGCTAATGATAAACGAACACAATAATACTGTTAAGTCACTGGTTCCTCCTACAGCCCTACGAACTTACACGAACTCAACTTTTTCTTCAAAGTAGAAGGAACATGCTCCTCGCAATAGTTTGCTGCTCGAGTCCCTGCATGCCCATCGAAAATCGCATACAGAGCACAGCGTTTACTAAATATATGGAGTTGTGCATAGCACAGTAGACCTAGTCGGACTAACTGACACAAAGGGCAGTTCTAAATCAAAATCGTGTAGTAAGAGATGAGCATCTTGCATGTCATCTCTCTGGCCTCGTCGACAACCAAGCACAGCAAGTCGCTCCAGTGGACTCACATCTAAATAAAGGATACAGACAACGATGTTCAACTGGAGAAATCCTTGTGGCACGCGCTCAAAAGCGCCCTTGAGCGAAGTCTGGCCGGGGCCTGTGACTTCGACACCATCACAACAGATTAGTTGCTGCATAGTAATCACTGTACGAACACACTTATCAAGGACGAAGGTCATTCAAAGCACAGTCATATCTTTTCATGAGGGGAGATGGACTCAACATTTGACGCTTATGTACCGTAAAAAAAATCTAGCTTCCAGAGTGACATGAAAGATGTGAAACACCTACCATTTGTACCTTTTGTTTCCACAGGTGCCTCTTCTTTCTTTGTGCTTCCATTGCTGTGATTAGCAGCATTCTCCTTGGTTGAAATCACAGACTCGGTGTTGCTGTCAGTGTTGCCACTATCTTAATACAATGCACAGATGGGAGTTGTTCAAATCTTCTACCGAGTGTTTTGGAAGCCAGACAGATCGGAAAAAACCTTCACTAGTGAGCCTACACTTCAACAGTGAACTGATACGAGAAAAAGTGTAGTTGATTTCCAGCAAGGACAGTTTCTCGGCAGAACTTGCCAGATTCTTGTCAGATCTTGGTGATATTAGGTAGTAAACCCTCCAACTACACCCTCCTGTCCCAATCGTACTCTCCAATCCGAGCGTGTAATCGTGAAAGCATGCTTGGAAGTTCCATCAGCTCCGCTCAATGCTATTATGAGTGAACTGTGTAGTAATTCTGAAGCATGGTTTCAGGAACAGTTACACAGGAGTGTGGGGTTGGGTCTACGATGTATTAGTTGCCCCAAAGTTAAACCCCTTTTCGAGACAAATCAAGCTGTTTTTGTTTTCCTAGTAGACTACGTGTATCATTCGACAAAGCAAAGCGAGCTCTACAAAATGAAGAGAAGTATCGTTCATTCGTTGACCGTACGGACTGCCGACCGCGTGGCGACTGCGACGCGTGCCTTCTAAACTTGCGAAAAAGTGACAGATGGACCGTGGCTTAAGATGAGAAGAATTCTTTGTTTCTTTTCTACATTATAAAGATGAGAAGAATCCTCTGTTTTCTTTCTATTCATCTTTTCTACGAAAACATCATGCACGCGCAGCGGTCGCCGCGCGGTCAGCAGTCGTTACGGTCAACGAATAAACGATACTTTCAGGGGCCGCGGCCGTTTGATATGAGATGCACGTCGTCTAGTTTTGGACGTTGATTTCCAATATGCTGCGGAACGGGGTGGGGGAACGAACACCTTAATTAGGCACCGCCTCTGCGGACTATTGGTCAACACGATGCATAACAGTAGGATGAAAGGATCAGCAGCCCGCAGAAGCGGCGCCTGTGAGATGTTCGTACCTCTACCCTCTACACTGTCTTTGACCCCCACAACCGTTGCCGGCAACCTGTGGCCGTACCCTAGAAGTCGTGATGCAGCAGTGTAGTGGTTAGCATGCTGGCACTGGAGGCGAGAGGTCGCGGGTTCGTATCCGGGGGGAGAGGCTCCTCTCACATGCAGCTCTGCCAGGAAATCCTGTTTTTAGGTCATATATTCCAAAGACATTACTGTAGGTCTCTGGGACGACTTCAAGTTTACCCTCAAACTGCAAAAGTGTTTGCTCCTCACCGGATTCGAACCCTCAAAGGCAGCGTCTCACCAAAACTTGGATGTCGAGATTTTTGCATAGTGTAGGCCTTTGTGGATGCAATGCGGGTCCAATTCGAACCAAAGCAAGATTTTCAAGCTTCCAAAACTCCTTCCAGAAGAGCGTTTTGCAGAAAAGAATGCAGATTTGGGATCAGCGTCCAAAGCTGCTTCGGGTGGCATGCACCTCATATCAAACGGCCGCGGCCACTGGAAGTGCTCCCCTTGTAAGTCTAATCCAGGTGAGATTTGGAGCCAATAACAAAATTTCAGCTACCCTAAGAATCGGATCTCCTCCCAGAATTGCGGATCTTCAACTTGGTTACTACCAATAGACACACAGCAGTATTCAAAAACGCATTTGCCGGTTTTTTTTCTGGGACCCAATCTTATATATAAAGCTGAATGTCTGTTTGTCTGTCTGTCTGTATGTCTGTCTGTATGTCTGTCTGTCTGTATGTATGTACGTATGTTCCGAATACAAATTTTTATTTCTGAACCGATCGGGACCAAACTTGGCACACATATACTTCAGGGCAGGGAGCGTGTCATAGGCTACTTTTCGTTATCGATCGATATCGATTTTATTGATTTTTTGCAAAATTCGAGCTAGAGGGCTCGGATTTGGCAGAGGGGGGTAATCGAGCATGCTGATCACCCCGAAGGGGTGATCAGCATGCTCGGTTACCCCCCTGTGCAAAATCCTAGCCCCCTAGCTCAAATTTTGCAAAAAATCGGTAAAATCGACATCGATCGATAACGAAAAGTGGGCTGTGACACGCTCCCTGCCCCGAAGTGTATGTGTGCAAAGTTCGGTCCCAATCGGTTCAGAGATAAAAATTTCTATTCGGAACATACGTACACGGGTCTAGCTGGCAGGCCCGGCGGAGCCGGGCAAGCCAGCTAGTCAAGCTATAAAAATAACCCGAAAATGCAAAAATGTCACTTTTTTGGTTTTTCATGTTAAACTTAGTATTTCTTGACTATCAAGGCATTTATAAAGGTAAATTTTGAGCTTCTACTTACTAATGTTTGTAGTATGCAGTCACCAATGTGGAAGAATGCGGAGTTCTTGGACTACCTCCCTCTCGATTTCTATGCGAGGAAAAAATCCAGCATCAAATAAGCCGAAAAGTGACCTTTTTGCATTTTCGTGCTATTTTTATGTACTGGTTTTCGGCCCCAAAAGTGAGAATTGACAAGAGTCCTATAAAAACACTTCCCTTGAGACTCTCCTTGATCACGAGATAATTTAAAGATCACCCCATGGGGGAAGGCGGTCTTGGGCATTTGAGTCGCTTCAAGGATTATTCAGCGGAGTAGCATAAAGAAACCTTGAAAACACCGATTTGAGTGGAATTGGGAATGCATCAGTATGCCACATATCCCTCAAAATATTCCCAAAAGGGTAATTCACGTTTGAAAGTCAGAAGTGCTGCATATATGCCGAAATACTAAGTTTCACATTACTGTTGTAAAGCATGAAAAGGTGACATGGGATTTCCTTGAGATTTCCGCCATCCACCTATCCAAAAAGCATTCACCATATCTTTCTAGTGCGCTTACCGCCAGCAGCTTTCTTCGATGGCGGCGTCTCTTCATCGTCGTCGTCATCATACAACGACAATCCACCACCAGATTTGCGCTTATTAAGACCTCCGCTCATATCTGGAATAATTGGAACACATATCTTTATCAGTTATGGGAACAGCTAACTCTACTTCAATCCACCCTACCTATTCGCTAGGCGCTTCTGTTGGTGGTCAATGAAACGGCAGAATCCGATCGCAATTTGAAGCGATTTAGGCGTGCGGTTCAATGCATAGACCGCACCTTAAAATACGCACATCTGCGGCAATTTGCGAGGTGCACGCATCGATTCGGACGCACTCACTCAGTCCTCCGGCCGTCTTGTGTGTGTGTTGCTCTCGTTCTTTAGTTTGTTATGCATTTTCTTCTCTAAATTATCCCTTCTAGAAATGTTCAGATTATGGCGGGTCCTTTGGCAGATACCGTATGATCGGCTCCTAGATGCTTATGGAGTCGGTTGCAGACTTTTTAAGGATAAACTTGTTAATAAAAACTCTACTTTATGACAACCTACTTTCTCACTATCAAAAAACTCCACGCCTTGAATTGGCAAGATACGAGTCTGGGAGCCGATGATGGGTATTTACTTGTTCCGGTTGTTGATTCTTTTCCGTCTCTTCACGAGGAGTGCATGTCTGCTTCTCCTTAATCTTTCAGCCTTAGATTTTCTCTAATAAAAACTAAGGCCATGTAGGTATCATATCTAGTGTTTGCTATTTCAATATGTAGTGGGGGCACGCTGAAGACATATTATCGGCTTCCAGATTCTTGTAGGGCAAAATTGGGGCAGCTCCTAAGCGCAGCTTTTCGAAGGAGAAAGGGTAAGAAAAGGAATAGCCTGGAGGTTCAATAAATCTATCGTTACCACTAGGGAAAGCATGCAATCCGCCTCTATACAAATCGGGGAATCGTTCCTATTTACTACAGAACTAACAGCTTCCTCATTCATAACTTCGATGTTAGTGGCAAGCTCATCGCAAAGGCACAATCAAGCATGAACAACATTCTCGTGACATTTCTATCTTTCTTTTTCTTGCGTTAGATCTTTTTTTTCCTCAAGAAATGGCAGCCGCGCCGGCATCCTATACGCTAATCGATTTTAGTACTAGTGCAGTACATTGCACTCTCTCTTGGGCTGGGTTCATACTGATCAATAAGTTCGGGAGCAGTTCCCACAGCCATGGTTCGAGTGCTGGCTGGATCTGTTCCAGAACTTATTAGTATGAAAGCATTAGTTTGTAGTTGCCCTTCATCCTTGCTAGAAAATGGCCAAAGAAGTAGAGTTGTGGTGGAGATCAAGTGACGCAGTTCAAGGTGCACGTTTTTCCCCGAATGCATTCAGTCTGGCTGGATGTTGCTCGGAAGTATAGTACTCAGGTACAGAACTGCAGTAGAAGGCCTGAAGTTGCGTTAAAAGCGATAGGAAAATGATAACGAGTTTGCTTGCTATTTTTCCCGGTCACTATGACACGGAGAAGTCGAATCGCGCAATGTGTGGCATTATCGGAACTGGCTTTCGGAAGCAGATGTTGTAGCAGACAATCTTGATACTGAGACTTCAGACAAAGATAACATTCAGATTCACACGACGAACTCAGTAATACACATAACGGTAAGAAAACCATAATACAGAACATGGACATGAAAAACAGGGAAGTATAAGGAATTGGACCCAAACAAGGATCGGTCGGGGATTGCATTTATTGTGATTGACGGAGTGATGAGAGGATTTTGAGTGTGTGTGTGGGTGATAAATATGATGAGATGTCAAATGCGCACGTGGTCGGTCGACTGATGGACCAAATAGGCTGTGGGGTTGGCGAATTCGTGACCGCTGGACAGGACTCGTTCTGAAGGAATTATGTGAGAAGAGCGCTGGACGAGTGGGCTGGAAGGACGTAGACGTCCACGACGTCAGCGACGATCATCAGCATTATTGGTGACGAAGTTGTTGGCTGTGATCGACCCATTTCGATCACTCTTCTCTCCACCTTCGGCGTTATCTCCGTCCTCTTCCTCGTCTGAATCTCTCCCATCGTCGTCATCACTTTAACTTTCTGAAGCAGCACCCTCTCCTTCCGAAAATTCATGATGAACCCTTCATCATCTACATATTTGTCATCCTCGTCACCTCCGACATTTGAATTTGTTTGTCTTTTTCTCCTTAATTACTTGCAATTCATCAATTTTGCCATTCAAGTCGAGGTTCTTTCTTTCCTTTTGCGGCCTTGTTGCTGTCATCCTTGTCGTTCATAGGCCTCTTCTGATCTTTTCTCCCCAGCGCTCATTTTTACAAGAGTTTGATCTCAAGCTTGGGTAATTAAAGGATAAAAGTGAAGGATTTGGCGTCTTCAATACCCTCTGCGGGCATGCGCCGAATGCACACTACTTCGTAGTCGAAGAGGCGATTGTTTGCGTGCGAGCCTATACAATGACTTGCGGGGGCCAGCCGGTTACCAACTCACTGCTTTTATCCTCCCAGATTATTCTGGTACCAATTTATCGGCCCCGGAGGGTAGAGGGCTTGGTTGGCCTAGGGGTGGGATTGAGCCTGCGTCCGACCTGGTTATGGCGGCGCCTCATACCACTACACCACTCGTCCCCCTCGGGTAATCAAACCATACAAACTTTTTTTTAGAGCGTTCGTACTGCTATTTTTCTACAATATGAAAAGCTTATTTTGTGTACAAAACATGGCGAATGACATCGCTTGAAAACATATTGTCTTGTGTATTCGGTGAACTTTTACATGTGCTAACTTTGGAGATTCCCACGTTTATGGGGTTTGTAAACTTTTTGTAGTTTTCTACTGGCTTTCGCTTCCCCGAGTTCTTAGAAACGAAGATCTCTTTTGAGTTTATGTAGCCATTTGCCATCATTCTATCGAGTGGGCAGTGGCATCGCCATCGTTATCGTTCCGTGCTTTTTGGCCCTCATTCATCTACAAAATGTAAGGAAAACACAAAATAGTTGGAAAGTTGTCACTTGAAGAAATGGTGTAAGTAATAAAAGCCTGAACTTACGGATCAGTATGAACCCAGCCTAGAGAGAGAACAGTTCAAATGCGGTGACAAATATCTGTTGTATATGTGATTTACTGCCTACAGATTGCAAGCGTTGCGCTGGCAAATAACATGGTTTCCCCATTCTGTATCAAGGAGTGACATATGGCGATAAGAAAATAAGGAAATAAACAGAAAAACGATTAGTTTTCATCTGCCGCGTGTGATTTACAGCAGACATAGTTGAACTTAATTTTTTGTCGAGTATCTGGAACGTGTCATTTACATTTCCCCTAGACGAATCGCTTGTTCTTTACAGTATCTATCCTTGAACAAATGCTTTAATTTTCAGTAATGTCCATTCCATTGCGAGGCATCGTTCGTGTACAAAGGGCTCTCCTGCTTGCGCGCCAGGCGCCTCGTCTTTGCACTCCTGTGTCAACAAGCGCTGTCCGATCTGCTAGCACACTGGATGACGGAGCCAACAAAACACATGATCATTCTCTCCATTTTAAGGTAGGTTCTATAAAAGAATTCTTTTCTGTTTTCGATGATTTTTCTACTTTTTAAGAAGATGGCGAGCTTTACGCCGAATATCTGAAATAGGAATGGTTGCAAGATAGACAAAACATGTTTGCATGTAATGCCTGCGTAGTCTACCTCATAATTTAAATTCCTTTCCAAATATGCCCTTACTTCATAATTTGGTTTTCCTCCCAAAAATGCCATGTTTTAGCTTGAACGCTACTTCGCAGCTGCAATAACGCCCTTGTTCCCTGCTGCCTATTTCATCCACGGTCCCGTCATGGATGCTTTGCTCACGGCGGCGCTAGTTCTGCACATCCATTGGTTGTTATTCCTTTTTTTTTGCTCAGTGACTTTTTGTCATAAAGAAGTTGTTTCAGGGGAGTACAAGGTGTTGTTCAAGACTATGCTCGCCCATTTGTGATTGGTATTCCTCTAGCGAAGGCCGCTCGTGCGGGTGTATACCTCATCACCGCTGCTTTATTGGCCGGTCCGTTTTTCTTTTTCTATCAAGGTTTTTTCTTTGTCCGCTTTTGTTCTTTATATTTTCGCAAATTACCTGGTTTCACCAAGTTTTTGCTCTATGATTTCCTGCGGATGCATGCTCCTGTTTCGCCTTATTTCTTGCATTAGAAATTCACCTCCTTCAAACGAAGTTTGCACATCGATATGTATTGCAGGTCTTCTCCACTTCAACACCAACGATGTCGGGCTCACGAAGGCTTTCGAGATGGTGTTCTCTTTGTAATTCGAAGAATATGTGCTAGTGATCTTTCGGTGTTCGCATTCGGTGTATTGTTGCGATCGTTTGTCTCTTCATGTGCAGAATATTTAGGATGGTTTCGATCTATAGATCAATAGAGTTACTGGTATATTAGTGTAGTATTCAATAAAATTGTTGGCTTACGCGAATGGTTACGTGTTATGTGCATAAAGCTCTGCCAAAGATTCTTCTGATTGGGAAACAATGGTTAGATTTGTATGCTAGGTTTAGAATGTCGAAGAAGAAATCCAAAACGCAGAAGAAAAAGTTCTTTTCTGACCCAAAAAACAAGAACAAGGTGTTCAAGAAGAAAGAGAAGCCGGTTGATACTGTCACAGCGGATTCTCATCTACGAAAGCGTGGAGCGTTTCAAGTGCTCGTACCATCACAAGGCCATACCATCCCTCACTGTACACATGGTTGGTCTTACTATGCTGAAGTTATCAAAGGACAATGAGCCCTGTTCTCGTCGGATTTAATCTGTCTGTCGCACCTATATAAATTGTTTCCCGTCAATCGGAGAGTTTAGACACAACATTTTGATAGAATAGCAACGCTGATTCATTTCTGAATCCTAGGACCGTGCTTGTTGTTTGGTGAACGCGAGAATGGGAAGATAAAAAGTCGATTCTTTGCTTGTGCTGTGTATAGGTGAGGTTCTCTTTGAGTATACTTGCTTTTTTAATTCCTGGTATTCCTGGTATTATCATTGCACTGAGTCACGCGCTTTAGGTCTGACTCAGCTGCGTGTGATTTCAAAGTAGAAATCGATGAAAGTGATAATATTGTGCAAACTGAGGCTACCGCTAATGGAGAACCTCGGAGTGAGAAAAAGATTCTTAGCAGAAAGGAGCCTATCGGTTACGGCTGCATACCGAAGAAGTGAGTCTCCTAAATTACGCGCTTTAACTCAAAGGCTCCACATTTGTTGAACTGCTCTGGCACCCAAATCAATTCCTTTGATTCTGTCATCGAGTAGTGACTTCACCTAAACTTTTTATGTAAACTTTTCTGGTATCAAACTCCCATCCTTTCCTTATTTCTTAGAGTTTTGACTTATCTCTTCTTGCATTATAAAAATAACAATCTTCTTGTTCACTTTGGCTGATGCTGAACCTAAGGTTCTTGATTTGCTGGATTTCTAGAAAATTTATCAGATTTTCCAAACATCACAGGTTGAAGAAAATATCCAAAACCTCAACGCTAGTGTTCTGCCATGAGTGCAACGATGTCTTCGAAACTAAGCACAAATGTCCATCTGTCATCGTAACGAGAAAGCAGTTGCGTTATCCTTCAAAGCTGTTGTATGCTCTTGAAAACCATAGTGGAGAGGCAGTAGGTTGACGAAGTTGATCTGTTTTTGAAATCTTACAAAATCAAGTTGTTAAGCAATATTTCTTCTCCAATGAAGTCCTTTCCGTTCTTCTGGGCGCCATTGAACGCTCTGGGGTTGATGGTGTACTGTGTGTTGGAGCACCAAGAGTGAGTATTCTGTTCTCAAAATCGGCTGTTTAAACTGTGTTATAGCTTTCTGAGTCGCTTAGACAACAAAAAGATGGCAGGAATTTGTTTTTGTTGGATTATGACAAAAGATACGTGAGTCTTTTCTCCAGAAATATAGAAAATCGACATCTGGAGATTTGATTTAGGCACATTTTTATCCTTCGCGTCAGTTTGCACAGTACAGCATGCTTGTAGACCATTTCTACGATAAGAAAGCTCCGACAAAGCTCAACAATTTCTTTGCAGTAAGTTATCTTTTAGACTGCATTATATATTTGCAATTTTACTCGTCTACGACCACATTTGCGGTTTCTGGCGCTGAAGCTGGAATAGTGCAGTACTCTCTGCTTTTATCAAAACTACTCCATTTTAGAAATGCACTAATGTACTTCTTGTGTGCGATCCTCCATTCGGGGTCTTTGTGGAGCCACTCATGAGGAGCATCGAATCTTTGAAGCATCGCTACGAGGAATCTAGGTTCGAAACTCATAAATAATTTACAAAATTAAACTCAGAAAATATATAAGAAAATATATAACCGCATTGAATTTTTTTTCATGTCACCCCAGCAACAAATATTGTATTCAAAAGCGTTTATACGCAGATGACCGCAAAAATGCTCTTTGGCATCACGTTCAGCCCATTCACTGCTCCAGAATGCTTCGCATGTTTGTTGTGGCGCAGTGGTTAGCGCGTTTGTCTCGCAGTCAAACAACCACGTGTTCGATTCCGCTCGCCGACTTTACCAAGCTCAATCGGTTCTGATAACCGTGTGGGTATGGACGTTGGCACAAAAAATAGTCGATCCACGAACTTCCACCTGAGTATGCTCAGCTCAGATTGGATATATATGGGTCCGATAGACAGCGCAAGATGAAAAAAAAATTCAGAATTGGCATTTCAAATACGTGATTTAGTGAAAGTTCACCGAAAAATTTCATTTCGTTGCAAGAATCGTCTACGAGATAATTTTCGATTTTTAGAGAAGGAGAACCCGCAGTCTTTCATGGATGCATAGCTATACCGATGTTTGTAGGCAAACATATTCTTCGAACAGAAAAAAGCTACTGGATGAGCGACTACAGGGTTTGTTAATCGACGTTCCCAAATCTTTTCCAAAGAAAAAACCTCCAGGTCACCTACGAGAACCACAAGGTGTTTTCCAAACCATCGAAAACCACCGTAAGACTTTTCACCGACCTGAAACCAGAAGTTTTTGATTTATCAGCGATAGAGGGTTACAAGTGAGTGATTGCTCTTTCCATTATATATCGAAGATGTGAGTCTTTTAGATACTGTGAATTTTGTGAGCGGTATGTGTCGAAGAATAACAAGCATTGTTTCATGTGCTCAGCTTGCACTTCCAAGGTAATCATTATGGTGTTTACCTACTAACTTTATTTTCTGTGTTCATATACAAAAAGAACATTTGCTGTTGTAGGATGGATCGCCATATAAACACTGTGATCGATGTATGCGCTGCGTTAAAATAAGCTATCGTCACTGTATAAAATGTGAACGATGTCATCTGCAGGGAAGATGTTTCATCAGAGAAGAAAACGAAGAAGAACTAAATTCCTAGATAATGGATAGCTAGTATACGACCAATAGGCACTAGGAATCGAGTAGAGACGTTGTTCTTAACTCAATCCCTGATCAAATCCATCTCGTATTTGTTCGTACATGATCAAAACTGCACGTTTAGCTAAGAATCTCTAGGATTATCACATTTTCAAGTTACCTCAGTCTCATGCGTTTCTTTTTTTGTTAGGATGCTACTTCGTGGCAGGTTCCGAATGTTGTTGTTTGTTGACATCTCTGTTTCGTTATAGTTGCTTGTTTGGAATAATTCAAACAGAATTCACTGTACTGAAGCTTCTTTCGCTTCTACTATAAGCTGAATTATGTTGCATAAGGCCCACCCCCTTCTTAATGCACTTGATCACCTTCATCCGCCTTTCTATTAGATAAACGTAAACTATCAGTAGCGTGGTGGAAAGTGGATCAAATGGACATCCGATTTGCTATTGGTCAGTTTACTAATTCGACCGATAGCGAAGTGGATGAAGTGGATCAAGTTTGGTGTGTACTTCGTTGACAGAGAGAACTTTTGACGTTTACGTGCGCGGCACCTATCTAGTCGATCAAGAAGTAAACCCAGGGTATGTGAATTTAGCCGACTGTTACTAGGGCCGTGCAGCTTTCACATTGCTATTTACCTGTTAAGGTTTCGCCCCCTGGCAATCCAGTTAGAAAAGGGTCCGACAAGTCGACACAATCTCGGTGAAGCTGTTCACCATGGCCTACAGTTAGTGATTGAGTCTGGACCGGGAAGAGATAGCACGTTGATGAGAGATTTTTCAAGGGTTTTCTTTTCAAACATACCCGTCATACTTCGCCGAGAAAAGCCCAAAAGTGCCCAAAAAAGCCCAAAAGCGCTCAAGAAATCCCAACCGAAAAAGCCCAGAAAAGCCCAGCGCTAGAAAGCTGGAACGCAGGAACGAATTTTTGGTAGAATTTTGACATTATTTTGATTTGCACACGACAGAATATGAACCAAAAAGAGCCAAAATCAACACATGCCATCGCGCCAAAACGTGCGCACGGAAGGGGACGTTCCGGCTTTTTCCAGCGCTTTTTTTGGACTTTTTGAGCGCTTACACGCTTTTCCGCGATCAGCTGAACAGACCCGCAGCGAGCATATATACGGAGCTATTCCATATCAGTTCACCAAAAAATGAAAATCGTTAATTGCGCTAAACTTCGTCTAGGGAGGCTATTTGGTACGCTGAACACGAATATGATGTTTATTTCGTCCGACAGCGCCATCCGGTGGAGTTACGGTAGGATTACGGTAGGGGGGGGGGGGGTCAAAATCACGGATTTGCCCGAAACTTGGCCCAGAGGGGTTATTCGGCCTGCTGATGCTGAATATTATTATACATTGGTTTTGTACCGTAGCGTCATATTCTCGGGTTAAGATGGGTGTACGGTAGGGGGTCAAAATCTCAAAATCCGCTGTAACTTCGTACAGAGGGGTTAATCGACATGCTGATTAGAAATGTCACACTTTCTCCGCACGAAAATGTATCCCTGCATGGTTACGGTGGGTTTACGGTAGGAGTCAAAATCACAAATCGACGAATGTATCCTTCCCCTGTGCTATACCTAGGCAAAAGCCGCAGCAAGGTGTGTAGCGCGCGGCGGTGGTCGTATGTGCAAAGCTTCACGATTGTCCGAGTCGCCGTACTACATCGGTTTCAGGCAAAACTATGTTTTACATTCGTTACTGTGTAGCTACCGTAACACGAGAAAATGACTACGGTTCAAAACCAATGTGATATTTGGCATCAGTGGGCCGGGTAACCTCTCTGGGCCAAGTTTCGGGCAAATCTGTGATTTTGGCCCTTTACCGTAGTCCTACCGTAACTCCACTGAGTGGCGCTGTCGCACAAAATAAACATCATATTCGTGTTCAGCATATCAAATAACCTCCATAGACAAAGTTTTAGCGAAATTCACAATTTTTATTTTTTGGGTCAACTAATGTGGACTAGTACCGGCTACTTGGCCCACTGATGCCAAATATCGACGAATTCGAAACGCACAAGCGTACCCTGATCGGCAACGCGGCAGTGACGCGCAGTTTTCTCCGCCGAGCGCGACAGCGACCACGAACTTTTGCTTTTTTATGTTTTTTGGAGTTTCAGACGCCGATCTTTGTACGCTTGTGTGTTCCGAATTCGCTTTCGACAAAGCTTTCCGAACTCGATCAGTAACAAGCACTATTGTCGGAAAGTGGAGCAATCACAGCTTTGTAATTTGGTCTAAAATTTTCGGGTACAGTCATGCGCACATAGATGGTTTTGTGACTTCGTCCGCGAATCTCCAAGAAGCTTTTTCCACGGTCTGATTCTCCGAAATATTACGCAGTGGAGAGGCATCGTTACATCTAAGGCTCAACCTCCCACTAACGCACTTGGTCACAACAAAATGTTACCTTTATCAATTTCAAAAGGCCGCGTAGACTGAAAAAAGACACTGAATTGCGAAGTGCTTGCTCTATCCACCGGTCAGCATATTATGTTTGGGATCGTAATAAGAATGAGAATTAGTCAAAGTTGTACATGATGAAAACGTCAGGTTGAGCCTCGGTGTACTTCGAGGAGCAACCAATCGAGAACATAATTGCTGAAAAGAGAGAGGCGAAATACTATTTATGGTGGTTTATTTCTTTGCAACTCCACTTCTACCGCGTCTCGCAATGTCCTCTAGCACCAAATAATTTGTAATCGTCAAGCAGCCTATGTAAACAAAAACTGGAAAAGAAGTTTGAACTATCTTCCAGGTTAACTGCTGTACCCCAAGCAAAACAGTTATCTACCGTCTGCGCCCCAGAGAGGTTCCCATGTGAACCAGCGTGCGTACGTGGTGCGATGCTGCCTTTCGCTCTTTTTGACATGTTTCTCCTGAGATTTCAACGGAAGTGCCCGAGGTTAACACGTTCAAAAGTGCGAAAGGCAGCGAGATGACGTGGTACCTATGGGAACCTCCCTGGGGCGCAGACGATATGTACCTATAGGGCTTTTCAACATAAGAGTCACAGCCTCCGCTTGCGCGGCTCCTCCAACGCGGCCTCGCTCAGGGCGTTTGCGGCGTATCGCCCGGGCTTTTGCCAAGCTTCAGTCGACGCGCAGCCAGCGCCACGAACGCTGCGCGGACCTAAGCGTGGCGGCCGAGCGGGGCGGCTGTGACACTCAGGTTGTAGGACCCTGTATATACAAAGGCGTGCCATATCGAAGTAGCTGAATGGTAATCTTCACAACTAGTCCACTCTGAACATAGACCTGTGCGAAGAATTCGGTGAACTTCGGCGGAGGCCGTCCAAGAACAGCCGCCGCGATTCTTTTTTCACGAATAATGAGCGGGAATTCAGGAACTTCACACCTCAGTAGCTGATCTGACTTTGTCATAAAGATCCTTACTGTAGTTTCAAGCCTCAAAGTACATATTCTGCAAAAACTATATTTGTAGTAGTGTAGGACCACAACTGATTTCTAACGAATTCCAGCTTTTGGTGAAGATTACACCCAAAAACCAATTCGAACTTTTCTGCTTTCTACGCTTACAAACAGGTGAAACCAGAATTGGCAATAAGTTTGCAAAGAAGCCGTAACTTCATCAATAACGCTATCGATAAATTTCCTTTTCGCTTCTTGAGAATGTACAGAATACTTTATCGATGAAAATTCAGCACGTATAACTCCTCTAGGCGGTTTTACTTTTCTTTCCACCCTTGTCATAATTCTATTCGGTTTTACTGATATTCACTTTATGTGGAACATGACCGGTACGCTAAACGCATAGTGCATGCAGAGAAGTCACAAAAAACCAAGCGTTCCAGTTCTGCCTTTCATACATGCTCCAATAATCGTGCGCTTGGAAGTCGGGACGAATGCGAAACAGACAAGCCTACAAAAATCGGCATCTGAAACTTCAAAAAACGTGAAAAAACAAAGTTCGTACTCGCTGTCGCGCTCGGCGGAGAAAACTGCGCGTCGTTGCCGCGTCGCCGATCAGGGTACGCTTGTGCGTTTCGAATTCGTCCCAAATATCACACTGGTTTTGAAACGTAGCGTCATTTTCTCGGGTTACGGTAGCTACACAGTAACGGATGTAAAACATAGTTTTGCCTGAAACCGATGTAGTACGGCGACTCGGACAATCGTGAAGCTTTGCACACACCACCAACGCCGCGCGCTACACACCTTGCTGCGGCTTTTGCCTAGGTATAGCACAGGGGAAGGATACATTTGTCGATTTGTGATTTTGACTCCTACCGTAAACCCACCGTAACCATGCAGGGATACATTTTCGTGCGGAGAAAGTGTGACATTTCTAGTCAGCATGTCGATTAACCCCTCTGTACGAAGTTAAAGCGGATTTTGAGATTTTGATTCCCTACCGTACACCCACCTTAACCCGAGAAAATGACGATACGGTACAAAACCAATGTAATATTCAGCATCAGCAGGCCGAATAACCCCTCTGGGCCAAGTTTCGGGCAACTCCGTGGTTTTGACCCCTACAGTAATCCTACCGTGACTCCACCGGATGGCGCTGTCGCACGAAATAAACATCATATTCGTGTTCTGCATACCAAATAGCCTCCCTAGACGAAGTTTAGCGAAATTCACGATTTTCATTTTTTGGGTCAACTAATGCGGAATATCGCCAAGCTTTTTTGTATTTCGTTAAGTGCCGTAGGAAATTGGGATCGAAACTTGGGCTAAAGTGAGTACCCATATATAGAGCTTAAACTGAAGAACAATTTTATGAATTTAGTGGGTAAATTATGACTTTGTTTGGTCTCGCGAACCTCAGGGTGCTCCCAGGTTGCGCGGGAGCAACCTAAACGGAACTGTCTAGATTAACAAGTGGAACGACAGAAAAAGCAAACGTTTTTTGACTCAAGAAAGAAATGTCCTATGCGCCGCTTACAAACAGTTTTGATAAAGAAATTACCCTCACCTGTCATCTCAAACTTCTAGTAAACGCCATGGATACTTATTAAAACGGTGAGAGAGTGAATT